ACGAAACACAGCAGCAGTAAGCTGCTATTTTACGCTGATATTCTGTGAGCCCGTGTTTCTCCTCCTTCCCTTCGGTCCTTCCCCAGTGGAGCCGACTCGTTCATGCTACAACCATAATATAGCTGCAGCGTGGCTCTAACGCGTATAAAATCCTCTCTCTAACGTCATGACGCTCACTTATGCCGGCATTCCCCCTCTACAAAACGCTCTACTACCACTCTTAATTTATATTCTCTATATTTTAAGAGAACTTAGAAATGAGAAAGAGCTAGTAAAAATTCAATATATTTTTTTAATTTAGTTTACTCCATATTTCGTAATAGGTTTTCATTAATCATAAATTTTACTATGTACTATGATATTTCAAATTTGCCAAGTGTCCCGTTGAGGCCAACGTAAATATGTTTCCCTAATATTAACATTTGTATTGAAGACAGTAAAACACACTGCACTACACAGTGTAGCGCATATTGTACTCGAATGTAAAGGCAGATGTTGACTTCACCTTTGGGATGAAAATAATCAACTCTATCTGGAATGTGTGTAGAATTAAGAAATATTAAAAGTAAAAGAGATAGGTCATTTGCTGAGATTTTTAATTAAAATAAACTCCAATTACATGAGCGATTTATAAGTGTGTTCTCACCCTTATGCACATATAAAAGTGCACACATCACAATGATCGCTCTTCTCTCACGTAACGACACCGTATTGTTCGCGCCGCTGCAATTAGCGCTAATTATCCACTGCTATAGGTTACTGAGAGAAATATACAGTGGGAATATGAAAACGACTTACTTGATTTTTCATTAACTTCGTTAAAAAGTTAAAATGCAGATACTTGCGTAATATCTTTCATCTTTCTTAAATTTTATCACCGATTTTAAAAGCTTTTGTTTATGTTTTTGATTTGAAACGAGGCATTCCATCTTGGTCCTCAGTAATGGCTCAGGAAAAATGTATTTGCATTTTGATTCTTAATCAAGAATAGTTGTTAATGTCTATAGGCCACAGCACGTATACAGCACACAGTTCAACTGATGTTAAGTACACATCAGGTGAACTGTGTTTTCTTTTTCTATACTTAAAAAATATACACGCGAAGCAATGGGGTGTTGGGTGCCAACGTCAGTTGTGTTAATATTACCCGCAATTTTGTCCGCGTGAAACTCAACATTTTTCAAATATCTTATAGTTTGTGAGATAATCTTGACGGATCTATAGCGCAGTGGTTTAGCATTGAATTGCTGTTCTGAGCCGTGGTTTCGAATCCCGCGCGGAACAAGTATTAGTATCCATCCATTATTGCCTATAAATGTCCACTGATCTATGTAGGCCTATCCCATAGTTTGCCTCATCGCCATTTGCCATTTTTACTATTTTGAGTTGTTGTCATCGAAAAGATGCTATTGCCCATCTTCTGGTTTATATTTCCCCTGTCGGTTCTTACGCCACTCACGGGACGATTTGGGGTAGTATGGATGCTCTTAAACGGCCACTACACGGTTCAACAAGTTACAAGTATTGGTATGGCATACAAGCAATAGTCGCTTCTGTTTGACCTTGTGCAATTTATGTATGTAAAATTCCTTCACGATGCAGGAGATAATTCTAATGCTTCAAGTTTTTTTTCATAAAATATGGTGAGCCTAGGGACTCCTGGCATTGGTCTGCATCTATTCGTGAAGTTACATCACAATCACTTCAGCCATTCTGAAGATAAAATTAAAAAAAAGTTACGGCCAAAACTTTCAATTATGACAAAACGATTGAGATTTATTTGTCAAAATCTGACGGGTATTATTATATTATCTAGTATCTGATCGATCGATCTGCCCCGGATTCGCACGGGTGATATCTGGATTATCTACAACAGCGCCATCAAGCAAGTCCAACTATACCTAAAACCTGAAGTGCAAGCAATATATTGACAAAGTTTAATCGCAATCTGATGAACTGTGTGGCAGCTTATAAAATGCGAAAAACTAAGTAGTAATTTTTATATACATTTGACAAAATCTGACAACTAGTTTAGACGCTGCAGGAGGACATAGATCTAAAAATATTAAAAAGAGAATAGGTTTATAAACAGTTTTGAAAGGTTTTTTAGTATGTGTGTATGATGGACGCTATGCACATCTCAGGCCCACGTGACCGCGACCGACGGATGGAGTACTGTCACCGATGCCAAGTATTTTAATTGCCATCGGTCGTAGCGGATTGATTGTGTTCGCTCGAGCTTGTTGATTGACGGACAAGCGTTTATAGCCTTTTAATAACTTTACTTTTCCGTTTCTCTCACTTGTTTTTTTATTTATAGAATAAGGGTGACAAATGAGCACATAGTCTTCCTGATGGTGAGTTAATGCTGTGGCCCCTAGACATCTACTTTGATCCTCAATTAAAAATTAAAATGCCGAGGCGTTGTGGATGGGAATATTTGTTCCTTTTGAAGATTCTAACTTATGTCATTACTCATTAGGCATTTATTATTATATTTTCAGACAGTCAAGTATGTTTTTCAGTGAAACAGTTGATATTGTTTTTTTATTCCAAAGATTATTTAAAGTAGTACATTCTTTTTTGCAGCTGAAAGTTACTTATTTTAAATTTACAGCTTATTTAGTAATTAAGTATTTGGGTTTTTTCTACTTAAATAATACGTGAATATCAAAAACATCTCAAGGAAGAAACTTACAGCACTGCACTTTTAACCATTATGGTTTATTAATGGATGAATTAATGATCTTCAATATAATTTGAAAGAGGAATTTAAAAAATCCGCTAGATCGTAGCTTACTTTTTTAGTAAGAAATTCGGCTTGTATGCTTGTCTTTTAAGTTATGTCTTCATTTCATTCGGAATCTTCGTTTTAATATATTTTGTCTAAACAGCACGCTGATGCGTCATGTTACAAAGTTTTTGGGGGATTTTGACGAAAACTAAATCTAGCAGACAATCGATGACGACAATCACTCAAGTTTATAAGGCATCTAAGGGATCAAAATAACTTGAGTTTATAGAAACAATAAGAGAGATAATAGAGAGTTTATATGAACATAAGGCACTGGTTTCCTTGTTTTCTTTAATAGTTCATATGCGCAAAATCGCAAATAGAAGATACACAAAATCGCATCACCTTTACGTAACAAAATCCACCACAAACCATTAGTTAAATGATAAACCAGGAAACTTTAAATAAATTTATTTTCTAACCAACGCGCGCTACATTTTGAACTATTGCGAGACTTAGGAACCTAGTTCTCACGGTTCATCGTCACGAGTGTCTCCTCTCCATATAAGGGTAATTGATACGCCTGCATATTTGAAGAGTTCTACAATTACATTAGTTTTTTATATGTATTTTTTTTCCAATAAGCTGTGCAAATAATTTAAGCAAAGCCTTAACTCTAATAATAGGTACATGCACTAGGAAAAGTCTCAAGTGTATTATATACAGGGTTCTTTTGCAATAACCGGTCAAATTTGCAAACAAGGTTCAAAATAAGTAATATAGGCAAATGGTGAAAAAAAATAATTAAAAAAATCTCAAACATTCTGTCCTTTTTCATCTTTTAAATTCAAAATGCATAGAAATGCATTATTTTAACTAAACATATTAATAGTTATTTTGCAAACATCATCTCAATAGTAATTGAGCGGATGGTTGCAAAATAACTATTAATATGTTTATTATAATGGATTTCCGCAAAGTAACGCCTGATTCTATCAATTATTAATTTAACTGATTTTACTGCATACGCACACTTTCGTAGCGCAATTCGTAGGGGCGATCGATAGGCAAAAACGTTGTTGGCAATAAATCACATTTAATTTAAGATAATTTCAAATAAAATTATAATACTCATTTACTTGTATTTTCAAAAACTGCAATAAAGGTATGTAATTTTTTATATATTTGCAGTTAAGTTTAAAATTAGGCTACTCTTTGAAAAATAACCCTGGATATATTCTAATGTTCATCCATGCATGTTACATTTATAAAAATTAGTATCCAGCATTGATTAATTATTATTGATGTTAATCCGATCTAGAGTGAGCTCACTGTATCCTAAAGTCTTGCAGTGGTATGCTTAGGTTTGGATTTAATTTTATAAGGAACGTGGTTCTAAGCACACAGTACCAGCCATGATATCTCGTCTATTATAGATTCATTAGCTGAAAGATCATCCTTGGTAAGAGTTTGTTTGACTGTGTTGACTTTTAGCACGATATGTGTGTATTAAATGTGATGTAATAGCGAAGGTAGCCTTAAGTATACAGAATACAAATTCCTTCGTATTATAAAAGGTGTTTATTTTTTTTTTATATAGGATAGGGTGACAAACGAGCACTCAGTCCACCTGATGGTAAGTGGTTGCTGTGACCCATAGACATCTACATCTATCCTCGATTACGAATCAAAATGCAGATGCATTGTCACCCGTGAGGACTAAGATGGAATGCCTCGTTTCCAGTAAAAAGGGTCTCCGGTTCTCTACACTCACCATACGAAATACAGCAGCATTAAGCTACTATTTCACGCTGGTATTCTGTGAGAGCGTGGTCCATCCCCGGTCGAGCCGACCCATTCGTGCTACAACTATACTACTAATATAACTGCAGCATGGCTCTACCACGTATAAGGTGTCCTGTGTTGACAATTATTTTTTGTAGGAGAGGGGGTTAACGAGCATAGCATACAATTTACCTGATGGTAAGTGACTACCACCGTCCATGAACAACTGCAACACCAGAAGAATTGCAGATGCTTTGCTCGCCTTTTAGAAAGGAGTACCTAAGCTTACTTTCTTGAAGGTCCCTAAGTAAGAAATATCGCCGGTGGTAAACTATTCCACAGAGAGGTCGCACTCGGACGTGGAAGAAAATTCTTAGTAAAACGTATAATGGTGGACTGCGAAGCATCTGTTTGGCTTTCTTTCGTATTGCTTTACTTCTATGATAGTTTTGTAATTATAACAGTTATATTTATGTTACAGATCCTTCAAAATTAATCAAAAGGAAAAAGTCTACGGAAGACGTCCGATCACCGCTCGGAGGTGAAGGATCTTTGACCAGCGAAGAGGGCGAGGAACCAGGAGCCGGGAGGCGGAAAAAAGCGCGGACAACGTTCACGGGTCGGCAGATCTTCGAGCTTGAGAAACTGTTCGAAGTGAAAAAGTACCTGTCGTCTGGCGAGAGAGCTGATATGGCAAAGCTCCTCAACGTGACGGAGACCCAGGTACGTGTCTATAGATTTGATCTAGAATTTTTAATATTTACCTCGTCCTAAGACTCCGAAGATTATTAAGTACACGGCTACTCCAAAGAAGAAAGAAGAAACATAGAAACGCATTTGTTTGATAAACACACACAAATGAAAAACAAAGAAAATTGTTCTTATTAAAAGTAACTAACAGTTGTGGATACTACGTCATTGGTGTTTAGTCGGACCCTTAAATAACTATAAAAATATATATGATAATATTTTATAAGGGTGACAAACGCGCACACAGTCCACCTAATGGTAAGTGAATGCTGAGGCCTGTGTGAATCCAATTTCAGATGCGTTGTTACCCTGAGGACTAAGATGGAACGCCTCGTTTCCAGTAAAAAGGATTGGACATAGACATTTATTTATTTATTAATAGATTGATTTTGTTTTTGGCATTATAATATTCTGCGTGCAATTGATAGCTTCCGACTACTCTTAAATAATGTGCTGTCAGATGAGAGCTACCTGAAATCGGTCGGATAATACCCTAGAATGACAATCTTAAAATGGTCGTATTATAGTGTTAATATCCATAACACGTTTCATCAAGACCATTAAATGTTCTACAATCGTTTTTAAAATATTTTTATAAATGTAACAGACCTCAACCATCACTCAACATATATACAAGAACTTGCTTTTTAAACGTAACCTCAAAACTTCTATCCTCAGACGTATGTTACAGCGTTTAGAGCCATTCGACAACGCTAATTACTTAATGGGTCATCACCTCATAAGGCTGCCGCTCGTTTCTCGAAATCATCGACGAAATTAAACGCTTTCGCCGTAACCCACACGTCGTCTGTATTACTCTTCGTTTGGGACGAGGCGTAAACGAGGAGATATAGCGGGAAGTGTATTTTTATTACTTAATGTTTTCCTCGTATTCAATTTCGTAGAAAGCTCCTACATTAAACTACCATAATGAACTAGACTATATGAGATATTTTTTATGGAATAGGAGGCAAACGAGCGTACGGCTCACCTGGTGGTAAGTGATCAACGTCACCCATGAACATCTGCAACACCAGGGAAATTACAGGTGCGTTGCCGGCCTTTTAGAACAGTAAGCTCTTTTTTGAAGGTCCCTAAGTCGTATCAGTCCGAAAAAAGCGCTGCAAAGCATAATCTTTAAAAATTATAAACTGTAACTGCTTGACTACCTCGTTGGTTAAGTGGTCGAAAACGGTCTTGTTAATTATGAGTTCCTGGGTTCGATTCCTGGATCGTGCCAAAATCAGTTATTGCGTTTTTCTGTCATGAAATTCTCAAGTACAACGCGGAGTTAGTAAGTTGGCGTTGTTTCACCTCCATGCCTCGGAAAGCACGTAAAACCGTCGGTCCTGCACCTGATCTTTCTCCAGTCATGTCGGATTATCGTCTCATCGGACTATGACTGTATATTATTATTATTTGATACTTAACGGCTATCGTATTTGTAATTTAAGCAAAACGCTTTCTCCTCTCATTTATACTAATTATTTGGATGTCCTAAAGCGAGATAATTATACTATCACCAAGGTGGTATGAAGGGGACCGGGGGAGTGACGGGGGCAACTGAGGGCGTCCCCCGCGACGTGACGTGATCCGGCACATATGGCGGCACTAATTAAAAGCGGGTTTCTTTATACTACCCGACACGCGACGAGTCAGATGTGATACAGCCTGCTAACATCTTGGCTGAATTGAAATTAATCGAACGGAGATTGTAGAGAGAGACAGAGATTTCGTAAGCTTTTAATAGGTCACTTTCGTAGCGAAAAATCTGTAAGGACTATTTCTTCCCGACTATTTCTTTTTAAGTTATCTGTGTATTGGCGGCGTAAGATAAAGAATATCCACTAGCCCATATCGTACCGCGGGTTTCGTAAGAGGCGACAGAGGGAAATTGAGACAGAAGATAGACAGCAGCGTCTTCCTGATAAGAGATGAAAATAATAAGCGGTCGCTAAGCGTGGCAACTATGCCATACTATATCCCCCTTTATAGGTAATCTGAAAGGGAGGCCTATGTTAAGGGGAAATATAACCCCAAATGGTTTAGCAAGATCCTCCGTTATGCCGAAAGTATTGCAGCATTAATTTTGAAATAAATATATGGTAAAGTTGAGGATTAATTTTAAGGACTATGTTAGACGAAAACACGATTCCGTTAATTTTTTTTCGATAGAAAAAATCCAAAGTTACCTCCAAACTGAACAATAAACCGCTGTTATTCATAAAATACTTTAAATAAGATCATGAAACTTTGCATACTAACTGAACTAACTATAAAGCAGTGCTTATGTTATTTACTTTTTTTTAAATACCATTATTTTTACTGTAAAAAGAAATTACCTAAACTATCGGCGTCTTGAAGCTTGATTCCTATCGCCCCGTTAGTATTCTCTGGTATATAGGTATTATCTATGGTTAGTATCGCTTAGGCTTTTGAAGGGAGAAGTTGTGTCGCTTACGATCAGAATACACATTACGCAACAGGACGACGTAAAATTAAAATGGGATATAACCGTGGTAAAAATAAGAGGCGACTGGGTTGGCATTAAGAAACAGGCATAAATATGATAAACCTAATGAAATAAGTATCTAACGATCTATCTACTACAGTATTAGTGATTACAAACATGTCGGTACATAGCATACGACGCGCGGGAAAGTGAGGGCGAAATTAGAATTTGAGCTGACTTACTATATCCCCTTAAGCGATGGAATTTTGATCGACTGTAACGATACGTAATGGTTATGTTTTTATTATTTTTGACGAGTTAATAATTATTTACTTATTATAAAATATTAATCATTAGTATTAAACTGTATAAATTACAATGGGAGTAAATATAAGGATAATGTATTATGTCTAAAAATTGGCATGTGTATGTTAATATAATATTATGTTGTCACATACAATAGTCATTTAATGTCTAATATCAGAATAAGAGGTGTTAAAAGACGTATCGTACTCGTGTCGTGTGTTTAAACTAAGACTTCGAGTGTATTTGTTGAGACCAGCAGTTTATTCTTAGTTCTTGTCTAAATATTCTAATTGCTTTACACTTAACGCGTTAATAGTGGATATTTATTACGGTGGCACATGAAATATTGCTTTTCAGCAAATTTTGTTTTATTAGCAACTAAATTGTGTTGCAATTTTTGTTAGAAACCATCGCGGACGCGCGTATAACAACTCACCATAGCATCATCATAATCGGATAATGGTATAGAAATGCTTAAGGGACAAATACATACCATTAACATACATAAACACACACGCCTGTCACCCAGAGGGGTAGGCTGAGACTACGGACTTCCATTTGGCACGATCCTGACATACCTCTCTCGCCTCCTTTACATCCATATATCTACGCATACATACTCGTTGGTTAAGAGTACTCCTAATCTAGCCCATTTTCAATATATTGCCAATTTGGTCGATAAACCTTCGTCTAGAACGTTCCTTCCCGACTCTCCGACCGTACACATCTGCAACATAAATTTGCTTAGTCACTCTTTCCTCTTTCATTCTTTCTACATAACCAAACCAATAACAAATAAACATTTATTTTTAAAGCACCCATGGTCACGGGGGACTTATAATATTAATAATATTATTTTCTGTAATTGTTATATACATTTACCATTTATTCTTGTGTTTAAAGAATTCAGTTAAGTTATACTTAATAACTGAATGACTTTTATTTCTTTGTAAGTACATAGTTTTGTCTTATTTTTAAGGTTGTTTGGAACATTATTATATATATATATACATATATATATATATATATATATATATATATATATATATATATATATATATATATATATATATAATTACCATCGTATGGGGACCTGTTGTAATTATATTTTTTGTTTTGACTTTAACTACTGACATGGAATTACACAAAATGTATGATTATTATTTCCATGTCAGTAGTTAACTTAACTTAATAAAATATAATACGATATTAACATGCGTCTTTTTCTAGCTCTCCCAGACATTTGTATTTTTAAAGTAAAAAAATCCCAACCACTTACGCAGTGGAACGTTCGTAATTTGTCTCCATCCCGCGCCCTAATGACTCAGCGATGATGCCACGTGTTCAGATGCTCCCCAATGTTGAACTCAATTATCGGTATAGTGATGTGCTTCAATCAGGCAAAGACCAAAATCAACGGAGTTTACTCTCTAAGAATCAATTTTCATGTTATAGAACATGCTATATTTTTATAGTATAAGCGTGACAAACGAGCACACAGTCCACCTGATTGTAAGTGGATTCTGTAGCCCATAAACATCTACATATATCTTCGATTAAGAATGCAAATACGGTTTCACCTCTGAGAACTAAGATGGAATGCCTTTTTTCCAGTAAAAAGGGTCTCCAGTTCTCTACACTTACCACAATATCATTTAGCTGCTTTTTTACGACGCGGAATTTAACCCGGGATCTCTTGATCAGCAGTCTTATTTGAGACCACTGACCAACGAAGCAGTCGAATTATATTATTGAATTTTACAATATCAATCATACGAAAACAATGTACTGAAACGGACGGAATTTATCTTGATGTAAAAAACCTTATAAAATATGACCTAATGTCAAACACAAGCAATAAAATAAGGTAATAAAGTCTCCAAGACCACAGTCCTCATGACTAGTAGTCCCCCGGGAGCGCTCGTTAACGAGATGGGGACAAAAACAGCGCAGGCGCAAAAAGCGCAGGAAAAAGTGTCGAGCTTCGGTCGAGTCTGCCTGACTTTCTTAATGCGACCAGGAGCTTCTTAGAACCCCTTAATAACAGTTTTAAAAATAATGTGAACTGTCCCATCCTCTCATCGTGATGATTTTTATGATATTATAGAGTGATTTAGGAGATTGCAATCTACCTTTCTAGGTACTTGGTAGAACCACTATTTACATATATTTTTTAATTGAAGTAACAGACTAACTTACCGTCCACCTGATGGTGATACTACAGCTCGTATACAACTGTAGCCTATGTCAAACAAAGATGGCTATAGATGTGTTCTCAATTCTGAGGATCAAGATGGGATACTGACTTCTTATACTCTTCAGGCTGGAACACAGGTGTACCTTAACAGAAAGAGGTAAGCGAAACCTTTCAGACGAACTCTTTAGAAGAAACTAACCCTAAAATAGGCTCATACATCAGATTTGACAGACCGCAAATTCTCGCTAAAGAACAACGATTCCTTCCAATGATGATTCGCGAGGCTATTGAAATTAAAAAAAAAAACATCTTCATTGCAATAGAGATGGCAGGGTGCTACTACTTGGGATCCTATAATTAATAAAATTAAATTTCAACCCAGGCATACGACTGCAAGACTTCAAGATACTATAAATTCATGCTGTGTTGATCTAAACAAAAATTAATAATTTTAATCCTTGGATATCGAGGGTGTAATACCTGTGAGGTATTTAATAATTATGTGAGCTTCCTGTACTCTTCAAACGATGTTTCCGCATTTGCAGGTGCAATATACAAATGCGTTGTCACTTTGAGAATTAACCTGGTATGTCTGTAATTATACTGGCTCTGTATAACCTTCAAACTGGATCAAAGCGGTGCACGAACTGCCTTGAACTAGGAATAGATGAGGGTAACACTTATAAGACAAAGTCATTGGCAACACAGCAGCTCAACCACCTATATATGGAGTGTACAAGTAAGGAGTACCAACACCCATAGTAGAATAGTTGAAAAAGTGGCCATCTGTAAGCAGTAAATAACAGTTCGAAAACTCTCCACAACA